GAGAGAGATGGAGAAGGGGCCCCGAACTTGAGTTAGGTGTGCAGACTCAGGGCAGGGCACTCTTGCACCTGCCAGTTTGGAGACCTAAAATTCAGCAGCAGAAAGTCTAGAGAGAGAAGTGTGGGGTGGCCAGGCTTAAACGTAGAACTGTCCACACACTGTTAAGAGTTGACAGTTGCTCATTCTAGCAGAGCATGAGGAATGGGGACAGATTCCATAGATATTTGGGACATAAAACCCAGAGGACTTGCCAATGTGTAGATGAGGTCAGCTGGGGGTTTGGGGAAAATGTGAGATTGGGAGAACGAGTAGACTGAAGGATGTCTCCTGAGTTTCAAGTGTGAGCAACAGGGTAGAGAGTGGCATCTTTCTGAGCAGGGACTGATGGAGGAAGAGTATGTGCAGAGATAAAGGGACCAGGGACTCAGCTACCAGTAGCATTACCATCCGGGGTAGGTTTGAGGGTAAAATTCCTCTGCACAGTGCCCCGTACTTAGGTGCTCAATGTTCTGTTGTTCTGTTATTGTAATTGCTCACGAGGGGCTACCCATTGGAGACACCAGATGCCCTTGATCAGCAAAGGCCTGATAATTCTCTTGGAGTCAACAATCAAACTTTTATTTTCTCCAAAGGAAAATAAATACTACTTTTGAAAACCCTGCCTTGGTGCGAGAAAGATGGGATAGACGCATGTGTGCCTCCAGCAACATCAATCAAACTCCCAGCCAAGTTTTGATTACAAGATCTTTATTTCTGGCCAAGATGTACAAAGCAGAAAGAGCGCAGCTGGGTTTTCAGCTCTAGGTGGATACCACGCGTTCTGGAAACTGGAAAACGTGCCTTGTAACTTGGAAATTGTGGTGATTTGTCTGGAGTAGTTAGAGGGAAAATAAATACAAACCTCCTTCTACCCTAGCTCCTCACGATACCATCTGCACAGTAAGTCATCTGGCTGCGGCTGTCTGGCCTTTGCCAAGCGCCCGGCCTTTGGACCAGGGTTGTAAGGTGGGTGATTTTGCACCCTGATTTCTATACCTAAGGCTTAATTCTGCAAGCATAGGAAAGCAGTACAGGTTTTTCTTAGTTTGCCAGCCTGACTGCGTATTAGAACTACTGGCAATTTTAAAAATACGGGTTCCTCGGTCAGCCCGGGAGACCTGATTCTGTACGCCTATCAATCTAGTGTTTTTTATTTTATTTTTTCAATGACTCCCACATCATTGGTCTACAGTGTCACTTGGAAACTATTGGTCTGATGGTTGGGGTGTTATATCATGATTTCAAAACTCTGAATTCCATTCTTGCTTCAGCCAGTGACTTGCTTGCTATGTGGCCGTGGGCAAGTTTCCCCATGGTTATTCACGTGCGGCTCCCTGCCTGTAAAGTGAGATAGCATCACCTCTCTTACTCCAAGGGGATAAGGAAAATGCGGGGAGCTGATGGTCTGTGCGTAGAATGTTCCAGTGAAGGATGTTTGGACTGGATGGTCAAAGGCCTGCCTGTGTGCCTTGGTCTCCTATCCATTGCAATTCGTCTTTGAAATGCAAACGTATTCACGGCAATGACTTTAAAGTGTCACTTGGCTCTTTATTCATATGCTTTATGCAGAGGAGCTGGACCATTGTGAATAAACCAGTTCTTTTTCATTAAAAGGGTCAGGGTTGCTCCTCAGCATCAGCAAGCTAAAAGAGGCAGCCGTGACACCGCTGGGGGTCAGAGTCCTGCCACTGGTACAGGTGACAGTCCCCTCCAAGGGCCCTGTGTGGAGATCAAGTTTCCCGGAGCAGGGAGGAATCCAGGACAATCAGAATTCCTGCCACAATCACAGTGCAAAATGGCTGGGACCAGCTCATGGCATTCAGGTGCCCGCTCCATACCCTGGGATCTCCGGCCACAAACAGGAGTGGACAGACGTTGCCACGGAGCCAGGGAGACAGCCCTGGCTGTGGGGCCTGAGGAGCGGGCGCTCTGGGAGAAGGCTGAGGAGGCTCCTGAGATGCGCCGTCAGAGGGAGTGATATGCGGAGGCCGTGACTGGCTGATGGAGAGGTGGCCACAGGAGGCTTTTCCGTGCAAGGGAGGAGAGGCTGTGAGGAGGACCCGGAGGCTGAGAGGGTGTAGGCGCCCCTGCAGAATGGGAGCTGCGCTTCCCCGGGAGCCAGGACTCCCTCCCATCTGTCGTCACTCCTGCCTGTAGGGCTGCTGCTCGGTCCCGGGTCGCAGAGTGGATTAGGCTGCTTCCCTTTCTACCTGCCAGCATTCCGCTCCTCTGGTTACTGATGTTCTTGTGGTCTGCAGCACAGGGCCTGTGCTGATGTCTGGGTACCATCCACCACACCCGACCCACTCTCTGCTGTCCAAGTTTGATGGGTCTCCCCATGTCCCCGAGGTCACTAACAGACAGGGGCTGTATGAAATCAACCTTGTTGAATAGCAGGGAAAGGGGGGACCGTGTCCCAGGTTGAAGTGTCCCAAACAGTTCAGAGAAAAATACCATATGAAGTAAAAATACTAATCGTCCTGGCCAAGGGTCTTCCCCTCTAACCGTGCTGCCGCGCGAGGATTTCCCACCTCACCGCTACCCTGCGTCAGTGCCCTGGACTGCCGTCCTCAGCGGGGGCGGGCATCATTCGGAGAGGCAGGGGAAGGGTTCCATCGTCGGTGGGAGGTGGCGGGAGGGAGAGAATGTAGTGGAAAGAAGAGCGAAGTATCCAGTCCAGGAGAGGGACAGAAAAAAGAGAAAAAGGTGCATCCTTATGATAAAAACAAGGATGACCCTTTCATAGAAAATACATTTGAGGAGGTATTTTAAGATGACATCTCCCATTAGGGAAAGAAGCCATTACTAAAGAGTACATAGTGTGTGATTTCGTTTATCTGAAATTCAAGAACAGGCACAACTATCCTGTGCCGATGGAAGTCTGAATACCGTGGGCTGTGGGGAGTGGGCAGGCGGAGTGGGCAGGGGCACCCTGGGGGCCCCTGGGGGCCGCAGACGCTCCGCCTCTTGGTCTGAGTGACGATGGCCCAGGTGTGTTCACAGGTAAGACACCTTGAGCTGTCCACTAAGATTCATGTGATGTTGTATATGTAATTTATTCCTCGTTATGAGAGCGTTAAATGAGTCTCTTGTTTCTGCCACACTAATCAGTGTGGTCTCAAGAAAAAAGGACATCTAGGCTGCTTAGTATGAAAGAGGTGCCACAAACATTCAAAGTGGACAGTAGAGCAGATAAGGGCCCATTAAACCCGACCCAGTGGGAGGGCTGCAGGCTTGGCCGCGGGACGACCTGGGATGCTTTTCCTGTGGCTCTCTGAGCCAGCTTTAAACCTCTCTTTGATGCGGCTTCCTTCTCTGAAACATGGCTGGGAGGCTCAGTGAAATGATGCACATAGGAGTCTTGCCAGGTACCTGAGCTATATCTCCAAAATAGTATTTATTATTAACAGATAGTAGATACATGTCCACAGAGACCACGGTGCTAAAGAATTCCAGTCATAAAATCAGATTGATATTCTGAAATATTGCTGGGAATAAAGGTATGAATATTTATTTCTAAGTACATATTGTTAAATTATGTTAAACTATTACAATTTATCTAAATTATTTGAAATAGAATGAATTCTGTCCCATGGGATCTTGGGCAAATTACTTAACATCCCTCAGTATGTTTCTTTATAAAATGGGAGTAACAATAACACTTTCATTAGTATTCTGATGATTCAGTTTGTTTGTTAAAATGTGTAATGTGCTCTACAGTGTGCTTTAACACATTGGGAATTTGGGTTAAATGATTCAGTTTGGCAAATATTTCATTAATGCCTAATGTAAGTCAGATGTTATTTAGTTCCTGTGAATTAAAAAACAATAATAAGAATCCTTGCCTTCAGGAAGCTTCCAACCTAGTGAGAACGACAGATATGCGCAATTATAAAACAATGTGATAATTGTTACACTAGTGTAAAACCAAAATACTGGGGAAGTATACAGGAGGCATTGCGCAATGGTGCAGTAGTCAATGAAAAGTATGTGGATGATGGGCATACTTAGATTTACCAAGGGCTTCATGATATTGGAAAATCCGCTTAAGGCTACCATGTGGTTGAGTCCATGGCCAAGGGAGTAGTCCTACTTTAGAATCACAGGCTTATCTGTACCCAGGAATGTTTCAAAGCAGAAGTGGATTTGTTGAAGGGGCACCATGGAAAGCACCTTCAAATTGGCAGCGAGTCAGGAGGGGCCTGGCATGGAAATATCCATAGTGAGACCTCCTCCTGTTCCTTCCCGACCACCTCCAATGCGGTCTCTCTGGCTGGAGGCCATGTCTGTGTGTAAGAAGGAAGGGCGCGTCCTCCAGGGCAGCATTGAGTCATGTCTACTTTGAGCATTTGATGAAAGCCATGAACTCTTTCCAAGGAAAAAATCGACTTGTAAACAAACACAATAACCATGGTAATCTCCAGCAAGGCTCTTGCCCTCTGAAGTTCAGGGTGAGAGCCTCTGTTTTAGAAGGCTCACATGGCTGCATCTTCTCCCATCTCTGGGGAACCAAAAATATTGGCAGCTTCAGTTATATCACCATAGTAACAGTGAGGACCCTCAGATTCCTACCGGGTAGTCCCGTGAAGTGTGTGATAACCCCCTCTGTGTCCCATCCTACCTCGCACCTCCCAGTGCACTTAGGTGTGAGACCACTTGGAAATGCACAAAGAAAACCCAACTGTCAATAATCTAGCTCCTGCACTGAATTTAGCAATCCCTTGAGAGTAGTATAGCAAAGATTACTATACACTTGCTACTACTGTCACTGTTAAGTGTACATGGCCTGCTATTTTTACTCCCATGACTTAGAAATTAGACTGGAGAGATAGGACGTTTGGCTAACAAGAACCAACTGCCTCTGCCTATTTGCAAATTCTTATCACATATTACTAAGGATCTAGTCTTCTTCTCTGACTATGAGGGAGCCTGATGGGCGGTTATGCTTCATGTCTTATCAGCAAGTTCCTGAAGATCCAGTGTCTGGAGGATGGGACCTGGGAGCAAGGCAGCTGCGTCCCAGTGGTGTGTGAGCCCCCGTCTCCTGTCTTCGAAGGCATGTATGAATGTACCAATGGCTTCGAGCTCGACAGCCAGTGTGTGCTCACCTGTAACCAGGAGAGTGAAAGGGTAAGGATAACTTGAACCTGTTTGGGACAAGGCTGTGCCCTAGTCTTGATGACCAATCTAAGAGTGTTGAGTGAAGTGATATAAATAAATCCCAACAGGCAGGGCCCTGCTAAGCTGGGATTCTAACTGGAGTATTGATAATATGTGATAGGGAATTCAGAAGATACCATGTTTTTGGAATATTCTTTTAGAACTTTCTCTTGGATAAGGAGGAAAACCTAATGGCTTGGATACCTGAGAAAATTCCATAAAAATGCCAGGGTTCTGATTCAGCAATGTGATTTCTCCCCATGTGCAGCCACTGACCTGCTGTGGTTGAGAAGGCTCACATTACGCTCTGCCATAGCACAGGGTCCTGAACAGATACATGGATCCCTCAACAAAGGCAAAGCTGAAAGTGCTGCCTCACTGTTGTTCTCTCTAGGATTTTGGCAGGAGAGGCCCCAAGTGAAAGCCACGCAGTCTTATCATGGTTCTATGACTAAGATTGATTTTACTGTAGAATCTTTACAAGCAGCGCATGCATGCATGAGAGAGGAAACTAAGCAGACCTCAGCAAAGACCGGTGGCCTTGACTGCTCCCCTGGCACATGTCTGCCTCTCAGTGTCCAGCTCTCCCAGATAAGCACTGCAGGACAGAGGCCAGACACATCTGCCACCAATACAACAAGAAATCAAGCACCTCTGTTTGCGCTGGTTGTTGAAGGACTCATGAAGTTGGCCAGATGAAGGAAGAATTAGTTATCTATGATTCCAAAGTCTCACTTTCTTGGGCTTTGTGAGCTGGTGCTGTTCTGCGCTCTGCATTCCGGGCCCTTCGTGTTGTCAGGGTGTCTCACAGCGGGGGTCTCACAGCACACGGGGAGAAAGGCCGCAGCGCCTCGGTGATCGGAAGCCGCTGTGCTGTGTCCATTCAAGCAGAAAGGCACAAAGTGCCATCAAATACCATGGCTTGGTTTCACTGGCTCAAACTCGTCTTGCAAAAGTCTCACATTTGCCACAGACAGCACTTGTGACAGTGTAGATGAATCAATGCCAAACAGCACCATTTGGAAAAAATTCCAAAAAGATCTCAGAATACCTAGGCTACAGTCGATAGCTCATCCGATTTTTATGGCCAAAGGAAAGCACATTGTGAATGAATTTCACTAATGACAAAATTCTCCATGATTCCTTCATATCAAGACAGCAAAGAAAAAAATTGTCATGACTTTTATTTGTCAGTAACAACATGGTTTTTTATTTCAATAATGTCTTTTAGTCTAAGTTCTAGAAGTTGGAGAACAGTACCATTTGATCAGAGCACTTTTCCACACTCTAAATAAGGTTGACAAAGCAATAATGAAATGTTCTTTACCTTTGACATTCTAGCTGCCCATCCTCTGCACTAAGGAGGGACGATGGACTGAAGAGTTCAAGTTGTGTGAGAAGCTGCGAGGGGAGTGTCCCCCGCCCCCCTCGGAGCAGAATTCCGTGGAGTACAAGTGCGCACAGGGATATGGCATCGGTGAGTTCAGGAAGAAATGCCGAAGTTTGCTCCCAAGCAATCTCTCTCTTAGGCCTGGCTGGATCTTGAATCAGATCCACTGTTGTCCCCGAGGAGTGGATGGAAATGCAAGTTGGCTCTGAGGTCCTTCAGTCACATTGAAATTTATGGCACATTCATTGCTTTGAGTGTTCCCTGTGTGCATAGTGTTGGTGTGGCTGCTGAGCCTTTGCATAGTGTCTGCCCACGTCACACACTTCGCCACAGCTGAAAGTGGATGGAGTTTGGGGAGGAGTTGCCATTCTGAGGGGAGAGGTGGGAACATGGAGTTGCACCCGCAGCCTGTGTGGGGCCCCTCCGCATTCCCTCTGTAGAGCGGCTGCAGCGAGGAACTCGTAGAAGGGGCGATCTGAGACTGCACTGGCACGTGTGGCTCTTCAGCCATCCTTCCTCTGCGGAGGACTAGGCAATTTCCTAATCAAGCATCAATAATTACAATTAAAGGTCTCTGTGGCCAAAGCTGATTCATAGTGATGTCAACTCAGGTTTGCACTGGCTGAACCAAAGCATCATGGGAGAGAGATGAGGTGGGTGGAAAACCTTGTGCAATTAATCCTAAGTCCTGATCTCTACAAGCAAGCAGTAGTTTTTATAAGTCATTCTAACTTGTGTAATGCCAGTGGGTATAATTTGCATTAATGAGAAAGGTTGTTAGAATCTGAGATGGTTCTTTACCATCTTCAAATTGCTCTTTGCATGGGGGTATCTTAAGGTCAGGCGTGGGCAGCAGGGTGCTTGCACTATGCCTCTTGTTGATTTCTCATGAGCGGTTCTCATCTCCCTAGCCCCTCTGACTTCTACATTGAAATGCCATACACTCACATATATAGAGTCCTTCAGAGTCATGTAGCTCTTTGAGTTGTTACACAAGTTAGCAAAAGCATCAAAACAGAGGTAGCAAGAGCTGAAAAGAAACTCGAAGATCATTAATCTATAGATGGAAGAAATGGAAAACTCTAGACTATACTTCCTTTGAATAGAATTTTCTGAAACACTTGGACTCTACCTACAAAAGAACGGAGGAAGAGTTTCCTTCAGGAGTCCAACATGTGACCAAAATCTCTGCTTCTGATTTCCCATTGTTTCCTCTTTTAATCACATAGTTTTCATGGCTGCCAGCATAATGATCTTCGGGGTAGACATTATAAATCTGCCTTCATAATCTCTGGGCCATTTTTTACCCCAGCTAGTGAAGTTCTCAGGTAGTAGAAACTGCAGTTATAAGCTGTAGACGATCCTATAAGCAAGAATGATATCAAATGTACTTAAAGTGCATCAACCAACCAGGAGAGACTTTGGTTAGCCAGAGTTCTGGAGTGGGGTCTAGAGGTCGGCTTAATCTTTTAATTGGTGAATCGTGCAGAGATTCAGAGATTCCAAGGACGTCCTGGACCAGGAAGAGGAGGGGTCCCTGGGGGCATGGAGAGTTAACTTGGGAACAGAGGCATTTCACCAGTCAGCACAGGAAGTATCTTCACAGGCACATAGAAGATGAGTATCAGCCCTGCCCATAATGGTGACCCATGGCATAGAGAGAAGGGGCTCTGGACAAATCAAAACTATTGATTCCAGAATGAAAAGGACTGAGAGCTGGGAGGTTCAAGGGTCTGCTGTGACTCTGTTCCTTCAGGTGCAGTGTGCATCCCATCGTGTGTCGTGCCCCCGAGCGACCCCGTGATCCTGCCTGAGAACATCACTGCTGACACTCTGGAGCACTGGATGGAGCCCGTCAGAGTCCAGGTAAGCAAACGGACTTTTTTACGTGCCGAGGATGTAGCCATTCTCCACCGACAGCATATTCCCTGCAGTGATTTCAGAGGCTTTCAAAGCACCCTTAAAGCAAACAGCTGCATGGGTCATTCCTAAAGAGGGTTACAAGTCAAGAGGAAAAAAGCAGAGAAGCTTGAAAAGAAAGATGGCCTACATCCAAAGCGACGTTTAAAAGGTAGTAAGGAAGGAACACTCTGAGACCTAGAGAACAGTAATACAGGAAGGGGATTAAGAGAGAAAAGTTACTTCTAATGAAAAATAGGGCAAGGAGGAAACAGGCCTCAGGTAGTGAGCACGCAGTGGAGTACATACATGTCAAATTATCATGTGTGTGTGTGAAAATTATATAGTCTTATTAACCAATGTAACCCCAATAAATTAATTTATTTTTTTAAAAAAGGACAGGAAATCTAGGATAAACCAAAAAAAATGAGTGAAGATGAAAAAAGGATGGAAAAAGAAAGAAGAATTAGGAAAAGATAGAAATAAAATTGAAAACAGGGAGAGAATGACTAAAGGAACTGAGTACATTGTTTCTGAATTGCCAAATCAATATTCTTTTTGCCAAAAGAAAACCAAGGGTTAGCTCAATAGTTAACACCAATTACCCTAGAGTGTTTCCTACTGGAACTCCTCTGACCGAAGAAGCAATTTCTAACAGCTTTGGTTGTGAGAGAGAAGAGAGTAAAGACAAAAGTATGCTATTATTTTTAAGTGTTTGAAGGGCATGCTGGGTGTGGGAAACAAAAGGCCAGGGTTGAAATTCTCCTGTGGACTTCTGGGGGCTTTGTTGTTGTAACGCCGGTTCCCTCCCTCACCTACCACACACAGAGATCTAGACCTTTCTGTGGTGACGGCGTCCACAGAGACATTGCCTGATGGAGAAGAGGATGCCAAACAGAAGGGTTCTCAGCAGTCCAGTAACTGCCTGCCAGTCAAGGCGGCCGAGCAGTGGGGTTGGGCAGTTGGGACAGGCAGGAAGCAGCCAGAAGTCCGATCAGTGCCCCTGCTCTGCCCAGAAACCAAGGGCCTCCTGCCAGGCCGCCCTCCTGCGCACCCCACACACCCGGGTGCCTGACGTCTGGGGCGTCTGGGGCGTCTGGGGCGTCTGGGGTGCCTGAGGCGCCTGAGTAGAGAGGGTGCAGGAGCTGCTCAGACTCTTGCTGGGAGCATGCAGTACTTTCCTCATCCTCTTTGTTTTTTTTCTTTCCTTTTTTATGTCATTCTAACACTAAAAATGTGAGATTTTTGAAGGTGGGAACAATGTCGTCCTGTGACCCCCCAATCTCCTCAGTGTATGACTCGCATCGTCCTCTGCTCAGGACATGGCTGCTGGATACAACCTGAGACCCGAGAAGAGAACAGCCCCAGCTCTGCAGGGCCGCGCTCAGGGCAAATCTGATTTCCTGGCGAGCCTGTGCATGGCAGGGTTTTATGGTTAACCATTGTATCGAGAGAGCGTTTTTATTATGTCTCATGGCTTTTCTATCTAAGATAGGAAAATTAAGGTTTTAACTTACATTGTGAAGAAGTGGTCCTTGAGGAACCCGAATTCATGAAGAGATTCTTCTCTACGCAGAATGTGGCAATTGCGTGCGTGTAAATGAGTTTTCCTAACTTGTGTTTGGAAGTGTTTCTTTCTGAAGTACAAAAGCATTTATCATAACATCCTATTTCCCTTAGTTGTTTGCATCATAAATCCATTTTTACAAGCAATGCTTCTCCTTTTTTTAGTATATTATAATTATGAAGTCCAAATTAATATAGTGAGGTCCAAATTAATGAGATTTTCCTGTGGCTACACATGTTATGTTTGCAAAGATTCTGGGCACTGCATGAAATCCCTTTCTCAACTCCGCAGTTTTTCAACAGAATTACTCAGTCAAAACAAATCTTATAATTTCTGACTCTGTTTTCCAAAATCAGTCCCTAAAGGATTAATAATTACTAAAATAAAAACAGAATGTTTTAAGAGGAAGAGAGTAGCAGGAAGAAAAAGAAAAGATAGTATCTTCCAGGAGCCATGATTTCCAACAGAATAGTCTCGCTCACCCTTCTTTTTCCTCGTGTCCTAATCCTTGTCTCCCCCCTCTGCCCCCCTCCGTGTCCTCTTGAAGGGTACAGTTGTGTCCAACAGCCCCAGTGGCACTTGCCACACATCAGTGGGAAAACAAATCACTCAGTCCCAGGAGCCATGAAAGGTCTTCTTTTCCATCAGCTTTTAGCATGGAGCTGCTCACTCTCAACCTGAATGTGTGTCTAGGCATCGGGTCCCTCATTGCCACAGAGAGTCAACCAGGGGTCTTCCAGGGCAGGGGGAGAGCAACCGAAAGGCAGACTCCAGGGCAATGTGCTGTGGTTCAAGTAAATGAGCAGAATAAGGCTGTAGTTTATTTAAGTCACTGCATCTATAGAAATAAGGAAATTGTCACAAACATGGGCAGCGACAAAGCTCTGTAGTCTGATGTGATGAGCCAAGCAACTATTGGAATTAAAAAAAAAAACAGTTGAGCAATTTTGTGTTAGATCTTAATGTTGGCTAACCATCAGTCCTGTGACCTTTAACTAGGCAACAGCCTTCGTACAGCCTTAGACCATCCTAATAACCCTTAAGTCATCTCTCGTTCTCTGTCTCTTCCTCTCCTCCCTTTTCCTGTTCTTCTTTCTTTTCTTCATTTTCTTTACTTTAAAAATTTTTTTTTAAAGATTTTATTTATTTTTAGAGAGAGGGAAAGGGAGGGAGAAGGAGAGGAAGAGAAACATCACTGTGTGGTTGCCTCTCACCTGCCCCCCTACCGGGGACCTGGCCCACAACCCAGGTGTGTGCCCCAACTGGAAATCAAACCAGCGACTCTTTGGTCCACAGGCTGGCACTTGATCCACTGAGCCACACCAGCCAGGACTAAAAAAAAATTTTTTTTAAATGGCCCAACCAACTTTAATGGCTCAAATATTTAAATCAATTTTCTCCAAACCTTTTACTATTTGAAAGTTCAAAACAGTCTTGGCACTTACTTGTGTGCAATCAAGTCACCTGAGAAGTGACTTGCCGAAAGTATTATACCAATAGTTGTAACCATATACAAATGTATATAAATAATAATTTAAAAATTTAAAATAGTTGTTACCCAGTAGGGAGGGAGAATGAAAATTGAGGGACACAGATAGGGGACATTAAGTAAATCTCTAATGACTTAGTACACTATGGAAGCAGTTATAGGAAAATGTTAAGATTTGTTAAGGTTGGGTAGAAGGTATAAAGTTGTTCTTTCAGTTATTCCCTATAGCCATTCAAAGGTAACATAGATGATTATAATGTGTCAAAAATGTGCCAGAAAATAAAAAATCATATTGAGCTGTCAAAAGATAAACTGAGGCATATTAAAATTTTAAGAGTTTTGAGGCAATGCCAAAGCAGAGTAGTGAGGAGCACTCCTCTGGGGAAAGACTTTATTACAAAGAAAAGGCAGAAGCAAAGTAAGGAAATTATTGATGGGTTGTAGCTCAAAGCCTTGTTGGCAGTCTCTGATTGGTTGTCCTCATGTTTCCATTTCATGACTTCGAGGAATTCACACGCCTAGACTGCGGCTGGCTTGTTACGTGCGCCGCCCTGTGTGAGCACTCACGAGTGCTTCGGCACAACGCCCCCTGTTTGATTAAAGCCACGTGCGCACAGGGAGCGAGCCCTTCTCACTTCCCTTCCCTCATCAGCTCACCGCCACAGGTGTCTCCCCAGAATTTAGGTCCTGAAGAAACATTTGCCATTTTCCTTCAATTTTGATCAACACGTCGTTCAGTTAACGACATATATCTTTACTCAAGGGATGCGTGACTTTGAGGGGCCGGGAGACCCAGGAGAGCCTAGAGACACAGCCTCAGACTAAGAGGTTGACAATTACTCATAAAACATCGTTTCTCTCTACTGAGATAAGAAATATCAGTGGGAGGCAGTTCCTCTTCTCAAGGATTTTGCGACCTAGGAAGGTCAGTGTCACAGGGACCCGAAACCTTTGCATTTTTATAGAAATTAAGGAAGGCTGCCAGTCGGAATGAGTCTCAAGGCTGAGTTACAAGTGGGCGTGAGCATTCTCAATGTCGCCGTCAGGAACTTACTCTGTGCATGTATTTGCGCATGTATGAAACAATTTATACATAAGCTTTGTTGGAACAAAAGACTGTCTGTTAGAACAAAGCACCCATCAGCGTAGATCTAGTTAAATAAATTGGGGTCCATCTGTGCAATGGAATACCATGCAGTCAGTAGAAGACTACAGCCCAGATACTGCAAAATGCACCGAACCCCAAGAAGCATCCTGAAGTGAAATAAAGGAAGACAAGCAAATAATAACAATAAACCAAAATACAAAATAAAGTCACGGTATTCTACCATTTGTGTGAGGAAATAAAGGATTTTACACATCTGTGTATATACATGCATTGACTATCTCTGTAACAATGCCACAAAGAACTAAAAGTAGGAGGGAGGAAACTGAGTAGTGAGAACAGGCGTGGGAGCGAGGTTGTGCACCCTTGCCTGCCTTGTATATTTTATTCTGTGAACATGTATTAGGTACTCAAGAAATGAAATTATATGAAAGTGGAAAGATGTAAAAATAAATTGGAAATAATAGGAGAAAAGAGCATTGGAGAGAAAGCGCTGAGAGTAAAGACAGTTTTCCTTCCGTTTGTTTTTCCTTTGCAACATACTTATATTTTGAGAATTTCTAAAGTATTAAAAAAACAAAAAACAAAAACACAGCTCAACACTCCCACATTCATAAAAGGGGTGGATCAGGCATAATGTTTGGAGGGTATCAGAAAAGGTGACACAGTAAGTTCAGAGTGTTCTGGAGAGTTCTGGCCATGGTCATCACGGGCAGTTTCAAGGCCACGTATCCCTTTCTTGGAGGGACTTGACATTTTTCCACCTTCTCCCCCAGCAGAGCTTGAGCGCTCTGAAGCAGCGACTAGATCAGTGAGACACAGACATGTGGTCTGAGCGGCGTGTTGGCTGATGAGCGTGGTGACAGGGGTCCCTAGTAGATGTGGTGCTGAGAGAAGGGATCAAGTTGCCATGGATTTACATTCCAGGGAGACAAGTTGTGCTATTGTTCCATAACCATTATCTGGTGATGGATTTCCACTGGTACCTCCTTGAAACATAAACAGATCGTTTCTAGGTAGCAGAGCCATCGTGTGTGTGTAAATAGCCTGCTTAACGGGCTTTAGGTACAGAATAGCTCACTTTTTCAGGAGGCTGAACGCCCCTGATGTGTTTACTGTATTTATCAATAATCCTGACTGGATTTAATAATCCTTTTTTCTGAGCGCAGTGATAATTTATGCCAAGGCACCTTCTACATTATTACAATGTGGAAGTTTGAATATCAAAATGTGGTAGGATTTACAGGATTTATTTCCTTTTAGCAGAACTGTGAAGGAGGAGTCTTAGTTTAGAGAGTATAACTCCAGGAGAATGTAACACATTTCTGCTCTCAGAGCTGACTCCGCGGTATATATTCATATACCCACGTGTCAGTATGCGCAAACGCCTTCAGTCTGATTGTTACACTCAGCATTGTAGAGTGTGTAATTTTCAGTCACTAGAGGTGCTGTCTGCTATCTTGAGTAAAGCTCCTATGTCCCTGTGTTATTTTTCTTACGATTGAATGGAATTCCCGTGGTACCAAACTAAAATGTGAGCACGGGAGCCTGCCAGTGGGTGGCTGGGTGGGTTGCAGGCTGTGGAGAGAGTCCCCGTTTCTCTTTGGGACTTCCGATGGGACCGTCTCTTTCCCTGAAGTATATCCCTAGAAATTTTAAAGTACAAAAATTTAAAGGAAATGAAAATGAGTTATTGTTTAACAAAGATTCGACAACAGTTTGTTTCAACGGGCACCTGGAAGTGGCCGCTGGGAATGAGCAAGTCACCTGTGTGCCGACGCGAGTGTGGGTTCTCACGTACCGGCCTCGTGTTGGTGCCATGTGAGTCCCAGTGGTTTCACAGACCGTTTTTGGTCCGGCGCACAGACCCTCTGGCCTCCTCCAAGGAGGAGAGAGGTGCGGCTCACAGGAGTTGCGGAGAGCACAGTGCGCCTCCAGGCCTTGCTTGGGCGCCCGCATCTTATGTTCTCGCATCCCTGAGGTCCCTTTCGAGCTCCAGACTCTTCTTGCAAAGCTCTATTTCTCAGCCGTTAAAAACACACACTGCTTCCTGACCAACACAGCCATCTCGCAATTTCTTCTCACGTTATTTAAAATGTCAAAACAAATGAAACCAGAATTATGCCTAAACCACTTTATACTCATAATAATGTTGAGGATGCTTTGCTAAAACCACACCTACATCACTGCTCTGGACACGTTGCTACCTTGGGGAGGGAGGAGGAGAAGGAAGAAGATGAAACGTCCCTTCCACTGACAGTTTGTGCTGTGGCATCATCAGCAAGACTGGCAGCCCCACGGGCAAGACCAGACGACCTTGACCTTGTTCACCGGCACAGGCGGGTCTTGCTCCTCAGGGCACAGGGTGGGCTGGTGGGGTGAGCTCAGGATGTGCCCCTTCTCCCACTGACCAGGCATCTTTGTTTTGCTCCTTCTGTCTCCTTCAGAGCATCGTGTGCACCGGGCGGCGTCAGTGGCACCCAGATCCTGTCCTGGTCCACTGCATCCAGTCGTGTGAGGTGAGTCACCTCCGCTTCCCTGGCCCCGGACCAGACTCCCCGGCTCCACTCACGGGGCTGGGAGGCTTTCTAATTCAGCATCTTCCCTTTCTCCACTCCTATGCCTTTTGTTTAATTTCTTAACTTTGGCTCCACAGTCCTACAATTACAGATATTAGGATTTCTGATTTTGGCTTTTCTTTAAGCAAAATTCCAGGGTTTCATTTTAAATGACTTAATAAGAAGTAAGTTAAAAGCACATCAGAATTATTTATGGTTTTGGTATTCTCTAATGGGGCCTTGTTTGAGTGAGTTAGATCAGGGCTTTGCAGACTGATGGCTCACAGACAGGTTTATTTGGCCAACACAGTGTCTAAAAACAATTTTGTTTTGATTGCTCATATTTAAAAATTGGGATTTTTTTCACATAAAATTCATATGTGTATATAAAACATTTCACACACACATGCACACATACTCCAAGTAAAAATAAATATAAAACACTTCGTGCAGAGATTTTTCTCTTGAAAAACAAGACTCTCTGGCAACCATGGCAACAACTGGCTGGATCTGAGTAGCCGCTGCAGCCCAGAAGGACAGCTGTTCTCCAGGTCACATGGCCCTCTGCTCTCCTGGTGTCTCCTTGCCTGGTGGCCCCTAACTTACAGCAGTGGCCTGGGGTAGGCAGGCACCTTTCTGTTTGACTCCTGAGGTAGACCTGCAGTCCACGGTTGAGTAACCCAGTCTTGACCTTTACCACCTCAAGGGATCCCGGCTGCTTCTTCACACATGGGGGATCTCCCGCCGGGGGCACAGAGGACACTGTGACTTCCCGAGCTAGATTAGCAGGAGTTACTGCAAGGAAGGTCATGAATGAGGGAGGCTCGTCCAGGTGGACGACCCAGGAGTCCTGATACGAAGAGCAGGGGACACTGTGCACACAGACGCCTGCACATCCGCGCCATTGAAGCCTCTCACCCTGGGGACAGCCAATGACAAATACAAATACTCCAGTCTCCGTCACAGCAGGTTTTGTTGTTCACATGTCTCACCGGAAGTAATGAAGCCACTTAGCAGTGTTGCTTGGCTCCTTCTGGCTGCTGCTGGGTGCTAGAGAGCGCTGTTCAATGGCCACTGATTTCCAGCACCCTGCCCTGTCCCCTTGCCCCACACCCAGCCCACCTCTCTGTCCCTCTGTATCTTTGTTTCGCCTGATCCAGTTCTGGGAAACTGGGAACTACATGAGGCCAAAGAAGGGGAAAGGGTGGGGTTTCAGACAAAGGGAAACGAGACCAATAAAACAGCCTTGTGAGAGGGCATCAGGCAAAAAGGCAAGCATGGAGTGTGCTTTGTGCCGGCTTGGGCCAACGGAACAGCTCATCTCCTGCCATCATTAGAAAAACAGACGACAGTGGGGCGGGGAGCACGGGGCTGACTCATGCACTGGGCAGGGGCAAGGAGCAGGAAGCGGAGGCCAGGGAATGAGGGAGATAAACAGGCAGCGGACAGGGGACTGGGACGGGATCAAAGGAGCCTGAGAATTCCCTTCTGCTGCTTCAGTGTGTGATCACAGGAGGGAGGGCGGATGACAGGGCGTGGAGCTGGCTTCAGCATTTCCCAGAAGGTTAAACGCAGAGCCGTCCCTGTTCCTCCTTCCCTCCTCGCGGCACCCCAGCACGTCCTCTGGATCCATATTCCCGAGCTTCCTAGGCTTCCCTCAGTTCATTTGTTGATGTGACAAGGAATGAAACTCCCTCCCCTCTTGTGACTTCCCTGCCGGGCTGTTGCCACGAGCCGTGGAGCCTTGACCACTTGAGTGCCTCACCTGAGTGGTTCTGAGTGTGGCCCTTGGACCAGCACAATTGGCATCACCAGGGAACCTGCTAGAAATGCACATTTTCAGGCCCCATCTCAGGTCTGCTGAATAAGGGACTCTGGGTAGGGGCCCAGCACTCTGTTTTGGCAAGGCCCCAGGCGATGCTGAAGTTGCTCAAGGTAGAGAACCGCAACTCTAGTCGCTGGGGGAGAGGGCAAGAAGGTTCCCAGCCTGTGGGTTCCCCAATGTGAAGCTTTCTTTGTCCAGGAATAATTCTGGTCAACATTACTCACATTCTGATTTGTATACAATATTTCCTGAGACTCTCTGGGTCAGACTAGATTTGAAAGAAAAAAATTCTGTTTCTGGTCTCCCAGCGAAGGCTAGGAGGAGAAAAACGTCACTTGAAGGAGCAGAAGAAAGAAGGGAAGGAAAGGAGACTCACTAATTGCAGGCAAGCAAGGGAAAATGGACAAGGAAGGAGAAGGAGAAACAACTCAGAGGAAATAAGAACTGCAGAGAGGGAGGGTGGGAACCACAAAGAAAGGACGAGAGGCCGGAACTGACATGTTCTAGGGGCAGCATGGCAGACACTTAATTCTTTACTGGAAAAAGTCAGCTAAATACATTAGGGGGGACTGAAGAGTGTCAAAGACGGGTGGAGGGAACACAGACGCTGAGGCGAGGTAGGCCGAAGAGGGCGAGGGGGAGAGGGGAGACTTCATTACGTGCGGCGCAGAAACGGAGCTCAGAGTAGACGCTTTGTTCCTTGGTATCTAAAGAGGGGTTTCTATTTTTGCTTTCCAATATTGACTGCGGTTCTCAGATGTGCCCTTTAGACACTCAGCCAATGAGAGAGTGGAATTCCACCTCCTTTATTTCTCTCAATGAGCCCAAGACAGCAAATTCCTCACCGCGCTACCCCAGCCCCTGTCCTGCTTCATGTCACTTTTGTGCCTTTCTTTGTGTCATATCCCCTTTGCCACTGAGATGTCACCTTCAGTCCTCCACTGCTCTATGCCTCTCACATTCTTTAGACAACAGCTCTAAGGCTTTCTCTAAAGAAAAAAAGTGCGTAAATAATCCCACCCACTCATTGTCACTTGTGTTCCCATTGTCTCAGCAGGCAGATTGTGTGTACTACATATCTGCAACCCAAAATTGTTCATAACATAAATTCTATTTTCCCCGTCGTTTCTCATGTCTGGCCTTCTTGACCTGAACGCTCCTTGTGTTTTCTGTAAGTTGCAAATGGGCGAAGAATGGCGACTTGGTTGGTAGGAAGGTTTGGGAGTCAAACAAATGTAGTTTCGAGTCCTGGGTCTGTGGCGTGATGTGAGCCTGGGTGTCTTCATCGGTATTGGGCAGTAGGGGTGACAAAGCTATAAAGGAGCTGGGATGAGGGATTCATGTGATGATGTATTCAAAGCATTTGAGTGTCATGCCATGTCCGGTCCATAGCAGGTGCGTGTCACGCGGCAGCATTGGTTGTGCAGCGAGTAAGAGCAGCAGAAAGCGAGGGGGCAGGGCTGCTGGCGTGGCCCCCTCAGCGCCGTCAGGTGCAGACTCAGAGGAAGGGACAGAGGAAGAACAGGAGGAGAAAGGGGAACGGGCTGCTCCCGTGGGGCCCCGAGATCCATAAGTCACAGATCTCATGGAGACGGCTGCTTCTCTGACCAAGTCACTGAGTTGGCTGGTCACCCAGTGACTGGATGAACTGGACTCACCCTGGTCAGGGCCTCGATGTTCCTCACCTGGGCTATCGCCTTGGTTTCCTAATCGTTCTTTCTACCCCCAGGCCTGTGCCCACTGAAATTATAGACAAGTATACAAAAGTCTGTGTAACTGTGTAGAAAACAAATACTTATTCTGCCAAATGCTTGTCCAATAAAGTCTGCTCTGTTGCCAGCATGGAGAGAGGAGGAGGGGGAAGGGCAGAGAGGGAGAGGGATTCTTCGTTTAGCAGGGTGAGATTCAAAGGGAATGCTCGCTCCATCCTGAATACGATGATGCTGTCGGACCATGTGAGTGTTATCCTCTCATCTGTCCATCCTTCCTTTTTCATAAGGTCACATGTATTAATTCTTCCAAAGACCACCATCCTAGGTTCCACTTACACAAAGAACATCTTGTTCTCTAGGGAAGACAGCCGAGGACAAAGACCACACTTACAGCCCCCTTTGGGACAGAAATGATTCATTTCCTTCCTGCAGGATGATTAAAATGGAGTGTCCATTGACCTACATTTTGACTCTGCTTTTTTCTGTGAGCATGTATCTTGTGCAAGTTTTTCCCAGGAGCCTGATTCTCTTGTCAGCCCTTTGCTGGCTCTTATTTGTACCCTCTCCTTTTCCTGAAAGAGAGTGGCGGAGGAGGGCGGAGGTGGAATGATGTCAGGAGAATTGGGTTCAGATTCTGACTTTACACTTGTTAGCTGCGTGGAGCATCTGTCTGGCGTTCTCTCAGGACTCGTGTGAGAAACAAGTAAAATAACCGATGAAGAATAAATTGCCGAATGAGATATATTAGTAGCGATGCTTTATAAATAACTGTGTGGGGACAGGGTCTTACTGAAGCAACCTATTAGAATCAAGAAACAGTCCACTCATACCCAGTTCATACCTTTGTGACTGTTTATTGTTCACTGCAGGTAGCTGCGGTTAATTAATGTTCTTGAGGCCTCCAGTAAAACAAACCATTTTAAGATTTTTGGGGGGAGAATTTCAAGTAAGGCTCTCTGAGCATTAGCTGACATTTCTCTTACAGATTCTCATACATACCCTTGTAAATGCCTGTTATGTCACTTGTCACATTACTTCAGCATTATCTGATAGGCCCATCCTTCCAACAGTCTGCAAAACCCTGAGGGGCAGGATGTGTTTTGTTTATTTTTTTACCCATTAGAAAAACTCAGCCCTAATGCTTCTGTGAGACCTGGTTCTAGGCCCCAGAAGCAGTGACAGAGAATTGAAGGTAGACCTTTGACTTGAATTGGAAAAGATTGGGTCAGTCTCCTGGGAAGCAGTACGAAAAAGGCAGGGAAGATACAGAAGAGGTAGAGAACAAAGAGCCTACGGGGCAGAGTAGCAGACAGAAAGCCGTCCGGGGCTGGAGTCGGCCAGGAACCTCAGTGCTGTTCCTTACTTCCTGTTTTCTTGGGCAAGTCGATGAGCTCCAAATTGGTTTCCTCAGATTGGAAATTTGA